GCCCCAGCAGGCTGCAAACAAGTGAGGAGTAAGCTATTAATAGCCAAGAATCAGGAGATGACAGACAGATCATCGGAAAAGATCATTGGAGGTAGCCACACATAATCATATCAGGATGGGACATTTAGAATTAGACCTGGGTCAAAAGATGACAAGTCTCTTACAATACATGACTGAAAGAAGGATTTAGCCCCTCTGCCTGACAAACTGGATCCAAATGCCCATATTAAGAGTAACTGAGGGTATAAACTACACATTACTCTAAATGTAGATATAGACACTAGGACTATTTTAATAACATTAAAGTATTTGTAAATAGCTATGTAGGTCTTTTACACATACATGTACAGTGCAAGTACCTTAAACCATAACCATCTTTCTAGAATATTTGGATCAAGTTTCTTTCTTATAATACAAGTTGTATAATCTCTTTTGTGATTAATCCATCTTAATTAAAAAAAAAACTCAAATGTATTTAGACTTTCTCTCTAGGATAAGTGTCTATGGCAGGACCTCCATAGGACTCAATGCAGCATTACTCTGCTACATCAGCCATAATCCAGAATTGTGCTGGCCTCAGCTGTAAAAGTCTGTGCACTTGGGCTTTTGGTCTTGTCAGTGGATGCATCAGGTCTAATCAAATCCTAGAATATGGAATCATGTGGGTAAATGAAAAACAAAAACAAAAACAAAAAAACAAAAGACAAGAGACTGATGATATGTAACCCACACACCCATATTACAATAAAAAGGTATCTTCCAAGGGGACCAAGTTCTAATTTCCTTCAGCAGTCCATTTTATCTATGTCAACAAGCTATGTGTTAGTTAGATTATAAAAAGACAGTTACTCGGTGGAAGTAGGCTTAGAACAAGGTGATTCTGTTACTTGTTTTGATTCTTTAACATCATTAGCTTTTATAAAGACAGCACTGAATAGTGTTGAGTGCTGGCTCATGTTTACAAAGGAAATATATTGGATGGTGAAGAGTACGCAATCTGGAGCCAATCTGCCTGGATACAAAACCCAAGTCCTCCGCTTACTATGTGTGAAATCTTGCACAAGATACCTGATGTTTCAGTTGCCACGGTTGCATAATAGATACCCCCAAACATGATGACTCACAATTCTGTGTGTCAGAAATTTGGACAGGACATAGCAGAGCCTGCTTGTCTCATGTCTCACTTTCTGAACTAGCAGCTGGATGACTTAGAAACTAGGAATTGGAATCATCTTCAAATGACTCATTTACTAATGATGGATACTGTTTTCTGACACCTGAGCTAGTGTTGTTTGCTGGAACACCTACACATATTTCTCCATGTGGTCTCAATTCCTTACAATATGGTGTCTGGTTCCAGGGATGAATGTCCCCCAGAAGAGGTCCAGAGGTCCAGGCAGAAGCTGTGTGTGTGTGTGTGTGTGTGTGTGTGTGTGTGTGTGTGTGTGTGTTTGAAATAAACTGGCCTCTTTAAAACTAGCTTTTTTAATAAACTAGCCTGGAAAGTCACATAGCATCCTTTCCACCATACTTTATCAGCTGGTGAAAACACAAGTCTAGCCAGGTTCAAGGGAAAGATAAATAGACTATGCTTCTTGATAGGAAGTAACAGGGTTCTGGAACAACTTGTGAGAATGAAATATTTCTGTGGCCTTTTTTGGGAAAATACAGTTTGCATTACCTGACTTTTCTTGCCTTTGTTTTCCTGTCTGTAAAATGCGGATAATAATGTAACAACTGAGATGATTGCTATTGTCTCAGTTCTTTCCATTGTGTGTGGAATTTATAAATTAACATTCAAGTTCAGCCCTATTTCTAAGTCATTGTCTTTGTATCACAGGGTGAAACATTAAAATAGATGATCTATAGTTTTCTGCAAAGAGAACTCGGTTCTCCAATTATAATTCCCTACTCCTTAGTTGCCTACTATGAGAGGGAAAGACAAGGGGAAGGGTGAGAAAAATAAACTAAAAATGGAGAGAATGGAGCAAACGTTGAATATGAAATCCATGTCTTAACGAGTAAGAAAGTTCAAGTGAAAAAGAATATGGAGAACTACTATTTGCATGCCTTGGGGTCTCAATCTCCTTCAATATTCAGCATTTTTGCTGACAGAAACTATGGTCTCTCAATACTTTGGGAATCATGGTGTAATTAGGTAATCCCAGAAAAACGCTGTGTACAGTCTCAAAGGGTTCACATACCTTGTGAACATCAATGATGGACCCAGAGAAAAAACTCTTGCTGAGGCTGGACAATGTAGTGTGTCCTTAGAATAATGTTCATTACAAAAAATGTTGTGCGAGTGCTCTTTATAGACTTCTTTCAAATCTTCACCTCTCAAGCGGTGTACCAAGCAATACAAGTTCTGTGTTCTAATTATATATTTGTGTGATTTGTAGTATAAATCCTTCACACAAGACCACAAATTCTTATGGTTCACCATTATATCCCAGAACTTATCACATAGTAGTAATTAAATTCGAAGTTTTGAATAGGTAATTAATGAAAATGAATGAATGAATGAATGAATGAATGAAGTAACACTGTAAACTCAGAGCACAATTATTTTAACATGCACCAATTGTAATCACGTTTTTCTTTAATGGCTTTAGGAACACATTGTTTTTCAAGTTCACATTTAGCCAAGACCTTAAGTAGAAAGATTCTATAGGTAAGATTCAGCTGGATTTGAATTTAAAAGTATGTGTGTCATCTTACTTCTCTTATTAGTTTCTGCTTTCTTCTCACTTTTTATTACATTGCTGACCCCCAACTTTTGTGCCCTTATTAAATATCTTCTACCGCTAACCAATTATAAGCTTGTCAATGCCAGTAGTGGTTGCATTATTTCCCTCGGACATATGTCCACTGGTATCATTTCCTCTTTGTTTAATTCACATGTATTGATAATATTGGTTAAAATTAAACAAGTCAAAGTTGTAAGGTGGACCCACAGTTGTAAGGTGGAACAAAAAAAAAAACATTTTCAAAAAGTGTCAGTAGAATATCATTATTTAAAATTTTTAAAAACCTGAAACTTCATTGCACATGTGAAGGTCACTGACCATCAGGAATAGGTAGTACATTGGCAAATACTTCTGTAAATTCATTACTGAGAAATGATCATGTAAAATATCATGACTGATGTAACAGTTTTTTGAAGATTCATCAACGTAACTGTACAATTTGATTTATTGGTATCTAATTAAGGCATATAAAGCAGTAAGAACTGGTATCATACAGAAATTGAAAGTAAACTGCATATTACACAGTTTAGCAAGGCATGAAGTACCAAATATATCCTCAATAAAGTGCCATTTAATATGTTCAGTGCAAATCCCACAACTTTTGTAGCACTCCTCTCTAATGCAAGGTTTATTTATAAGAGCTATCTAGGGCTTGAAAGAAATGTGAGAAGTAGAATACTTCAGATATCAGGGTTGTGTTTATGCTAAACCAAACAAACAAAAACACTCAACATGGTTCGTCTTCCCACTTTCAGTAGAATATTGGTCAATGATCCATCGTCATCACTTGAGGCTTATATTTTAATAAGTTGTTACCATATCAGAAAGAACTGTAACCATTTTTTTCCCAAAAGCATCCCCATCAAAGTAAAAGATTCCTGGATACTTGGTCCTCCTACCAAAAGATAATTCTATGTGATTTCAGATAAGTTTATTAGATTAAAGTTTCTAAAGTTTGAAATTGCCGTGCCAGAATTAGGACAAGGACATTTAAAATGGTTCTCAGTTCATCATTTTGGCTTTTTGAAGAACAGCTGTGGCATACTATTCATCATTAGAGATCAATATGGATACAAGGCTTTCATGAGAAATATGTTTGTTGACCTTAATAAATCTTTAGCTGTGCAAATACAGAAATATTTGTACAGGCAATTTTCTGCTGAATTACATTTCATCTATGCACATTCTCATACCGCAGTATATTTTTTAACAACTTATACTAAAGGTTTGATGTGATGGCAGTTTTCCCAAAGAAACATTTTTAATTGCTTCACAATGGTTGTTTTTGTATCTAGTTATTTAATCATCATTATCGTCATCATGATTAATTTACATTTATGTGTTTTGAAACTTTTTGCTACTGTAAAAATTGTTGTAATGAATAAGGCTTTTGCTTAAATAAATTTACATAAAATGAATTACTAGATTAACAAGTTTGAAAATATTAAAGGCTGTTGATAAATTCCACATTTTTTGAAGCACCAGAGAAAATTATATGTGCTAGAAATGTAAAAAGAATCAACAACTGAACTTGAATTCATACATCTCATTTAAAATGATAGGTAGCTCCTAGTTTGCCAATTGGTAATATTACCAAAGTTATATTCTAAGGGGTTTGTATTAGATTTAACATATATTTCTTTAGTCATGAGGGGATACTATAAGGTCCTCAGGTGCTCACAGATTTAACCTTTAATATAGCTAAAGTATACTAGGAGCAAATAATGGCTCTCCCATTGTGCTTCTAAATATTGAGTTCCTTGTCTTTGTCTTCACTCTTTAATTCTCTATTTTCAGTGAGTGCCACCACTCTGAACCTCTTGAAAATGGGATTCTAAGCTTCCAAGGGTGTTCTACCTATTTGAGCACTGGGGAAAGGAAAAGGGGATAGGAAACTGGAAGAAAACCTCTAGGACGCCGGGAAGAGCATCTCAGGACTGATCCTTCCCAAAGCATTATGGAGGGAAGTGTGGGAAAGAGGGAGAACAAAAATCAGACAGACTCTGGTAAATCAGTGTTCAAAAAAAAAAAAAAAAAAAAAAAGGAAAGAAAGAAAGAAACCAGGTACGTCAAGAAAGAAAATTATTAAGTCCAAGGAGGATGTTGGTATCAGAGGAAGCACCTTTTTAACTTTAATATTTTTCTACAATATATAATATAATCTTTGTAGATGATTCAAATGATGTTGAAAAAATTCAAGGAAATTGAAAGGACTTTAATTAAATATATATATATTTATTTATCTTCTAGAAAATACAAGATGATTCACTCGAAGAAAATTTGCGTTTAGCTCAAGAATATCAGGAATTACAGACTACTTTCTTAACAGAAAAGGACAATTATTTCAATCTATATGATAGACAGTTATCACTTGATGCTTCAATTCAAGCTAAGAAACAGGTAGGTTTTCATATTTTTTTCCTAATAATGATTTATTTGACATGCGTGCTGCAGAAAGTAACAAGCGGTCAGTCATGGGCTTTTATATGACCGACGGTGGTCCTTTGTATGCCACCAAATGGCATATTCCCTCCTTGTAAATTTTTGGTGAATATTTTTATCAACTTTGAAATGAAATTTTGAATGGATATTTGAGAAATGAAAAAACTTAGTTTCTCATCCACCATTTCATACTAATTCGTTCTATTATGACCTGGAATACCAAGTTTTTGTAGTTAAAGATTTAAATATATTATCATAGATTTCAAATTTCAATTCTAAATATAGGTGAGTTTCCACGATATGCCTCAAAATCCTCTTCATGATGTATGGGCTCCAAATGTTTGTTTCTATTTTCTTAATAAATAGGGGTATTAATTATAAACTTAGAGAGTATATGACCCTCTGTGTTTAGTGGAAATCACTAGAAATTCTCACATATTTTGTAAAAGATTCTGTAATAATAAAAATAGAAAAGTAAAATACACAATACTCCGCAAATGGAAGAGGAAAGAAAAAGCTCCACTTCGAGTGTTAAGATACAGCCACTTCCTCTGTATTCTTCTCCAGATACTCATTGACAAAAACAATTATTTCCCTTGAATTTCTGTATCTTCCCAGAATTTAGATTTCAAAATTTGGAGGTATGCTTGTTTTTTTAACAATGCACCTAGTCATAAGAACCGGTAGGCTGCTAATGAATCCTTTCTCGTACAGTCATCACCCATATTACTCTACTGTAAATTAGTAGTTTAAAATTCCAGTGCTGTATTTATCCCTCCGTATGGTGGAATATTGGAAAGACAGAGGCCAGGATTTGAGTGCATTTCTACCAGTTACTAGCTCAGTGATCTTGGCAAGTTATGTATCCTTTCTGGCCTCAGTTTTCTCGTCTGTGAAATAAGATTTACCTCAGAGGAAAACTGATAAGTAATAAGAAGGAGACATCCATAGTTATTTTTGAAAATAAAGAGATACTATGCAACTATAAGTAACTATTGCATTCATCTGGTATGCTGCTTATGTTTGCCATCTATCTGCTCTCCTGAGAGTTAAAGCTTCTGAATATATTGAGAGAGAGAGAGAGAGAGAGAGAGAGAGAGAGAGAGAGTGTGTGTGTATTTTTCTCTTAAAAATTAGTAGCACGATGAAGGCAGATTAAGAAATAAATGTGTTTGTGAACAAATTGATAGTACAACTATATGCCAAAAGCTTGGTGTCCTCAAACCATGTGCCGGATTGAAAGAAAGGACTTTAGTGGAACATTTGTCCAATCACTTCATGCATTTGACGTTGTTATTGAGGCTAAACATGTTCTATTTGTTCCTGATAATTGAGGAAGAGAAAATAATCAATGGATATATTGTATTTCCTTTTCCTTTTCTAACCAGAAGGGAAACAAAAATAAATTTTATGTATACTTGTTATCAGTTTATTTAGAATCCTTTGGTGGAAAATGACCAATAGATACTGCAAAAATAGTGAAGAAACCAGGCCTTTAAGAGAGTCCCTAACACACTACTTCCATAGTAAGAATAAAATCGTCTTCATGTTGGAATTAAAGCAAATTGTGATTCAGGATCCAAGGAGTGAGACCCTGGTATGAACAGACAGTGAGGTATGCTAGGAGATTGAGTTTATATTTGTGATGATCCCTCAAACGAATCACTTTTAGCACACCTGTTTCAGGGAAACTTTCAAAGATTTATTTGTACTTCCAATCATTTTTCATTTCCATCCTTCAGCGATGGAGGTCATTAAGTGCAGGCTGCCCTTGTCAGTGTCATGTAGGATCAATTTGCTGCAATGGACAGAGAGGCCTTATTGATGCTGTTAAATCTGTCAGTGAGAAATCGTATGTCATTAGCGTCTAATGCACTGCTTACGGGATGGAATTTGGCCATCAAAACTGAAAAAAAAAACCCTTAATATTTTAGTTCCCTTCTTTGATATTGCAGCATTTCCTGCATATATATATTATAGGTTTTAGTCCTTTGACCAGTTTAGTTTTGGGTATGCAAAAAAACCATTCAGCCTCTCATTCCCTTGTTGAATTTTCTTGTCATGTAAAATGGATCTCACTTTAAGGAATTTTGTGTATTATTTTCCTGTTTTTAGAATAACTTTATGGCTTCTAGACATATATTCCTTTTGGCATGGTAAATTGTATTTTGATGCTTGTGCTTCTTAAGGAGTATTATTCTCTCTACACAAATTATACATTTTCATACTTTGTATATTAGGCTAAAAGTAGCAAAGCTTAATGGAGAAGCAAAACAAATTAAATACAAAAAGTAATGATGTCCCCTTCCTTAACACAATTTTATTTACAACCTTCAAGTGTTAGAATGTTCTAGTGTTACTCTTGGTGATAAAATTATGTCTACTTCCTTTGTGCATGCTTCTTGATACTTTCCTGTACTTCAGAATTTTGCAGTGATGAATATTTCCCCCTTTAAAAATCAGAAACAAACAAAAATATGCAAAATTCTTATCTTCCCTGTTCATGGGTAACGATAGAATAGAATCCAATCTAAAGATCTCAAAATTTAAAATAACACTAAAGGGGAATAAAAGAAAAATATCTGAAAAACAGGTTGCACTTCTGTGTAAAAATAGACATGTTCATCATTTTCATTAAAAGATTTCAAAAATATTTTCAAGCTATTTCAAAATATTTAAACCCATGAATAGATTGGTAAAATCACGTTTGTTTTCATTGCCATCTCCAATTCTTCAAGTCTGCCAAGAAAGGTAAGCTAAAAGCAAGCAAGCCAATGTTGATGTGTTCTGTTGGCTGAGAACACGATCCCTTTCAAAACTGGCTAAAAAATATTTTTAATTCTTTTGTGAACCACTTGTGAAGCCTCACCTTTGCCTGCTCCAGTTCTCAGGACTCTCAGACTAAGGGAATACAAATCATTGGAGAATCAGTCGGCACTTAACTGGCACTTAGAGGGACTTGGTATCCGTACCATCCAGTTTGCACACATTGTCTCTGTAATGTCCATCAGTAATCCTCTAAAGTTTTTGTCATTATTGGTGTTATAGTCATCTCCAGTTTAAGATAAGGGGCTGAGATTGAGTGTGTCACAGCGTCACCTGAGTGAAAGGAACAGTTAACTGAGATAGGAATCAAACAGGATTTTCAGAAATCCAACCCATTTCATAACTGTGGCATACCTCTGTAATGTGTCATTATTAAACAATCCTACATATGTCTCATCAGGCTCTGTAAAGCATGTAAAAGCCACATCGGTCATGCATTATGCCACCAGTGTCCATCTGAAACAGACTATTTGATTCAGTAATTGTTTTTGTAATTTTATCTCACTGAAGCTGTGTTTTCAACAATGATTTTCTCATGGGGAAAGAACTACTTATTTATTATAAATTATTTAATTTTCACAGGGATTAGCGATAATTTTTGCAATTCTAAAATTGTAAAAATTTTGAACTGGATATGCCTTTACAAATGTTACCCAATTGTTTAAAAGATAGTTTCACACACATACACATACACACTAAAAAATAAAAAATAAAACACAGGGGCGCCACACAATAAAAAAATAAAAAATAGTGGCTCCTGAGTGGCTCAGTGGGTTAAGTGTCCGACTTCAGCTCAAGTCATGATCTCGTGGTTCGTGAGTTCCGGCACTGCATTGGGCTCTGCGCGGATGGTGCCTGAAGCCTGCTTGGAATTCTCTTTCTCCTTCTCTCTTTGCCCCTCCCCCACTCACATGGAGCTTGCTCACGCTCTCTCTCTCCCTCTCTCTTTCAAAAATAAATAAACATTTAAAAAAAATAGAAAGTAAAATAAAAGATTACTTCACAAGTGAGGAACCGTAGGGCCACAGTGGCTCAGTGATTTACCACATATACACTTAATTAGAAGAAAAGCTGGCCTAGGACACAGCTGTCTTAACTTACATTCAAATAGTCTCTCCAACCAGCTGTAAAACGAGCATGTGCTATGATATTTTTTGAAGGTTTGAGTGGACCAGTAGTTGAAAAGTAGTAAGAGTAACTACAATAGATATGCTCAGATTGGAATCACCTTTAATAACCTGGCCTTATTAAGGAGTCACGTAGGGACATAAATCAGAGGACTACTTTGGAGCTCTAGGGGACACTTCTACGTCTCACAGAATTCAAACACTATTCATTCATTCATTCATTCATTCAATTATTCAAAATGAATTATTAATCATCCATTGTACTTATATCCTTTCTTTTGATACAATAAAAGACACAGGAATATGCCACCTCATGTCAGCTACCATGCTGAATGCTGTGATCCCCAGAGACCAAGGGACTTTTTTGCTAGAAGACAGCATAGAATCCGAGCCCAACAACATCCTGTCTTTACCCCACTAGTGGAAGAATCACGGATTTTTCCTGTCTAATCTCCTTCCCGTAGGTCTCAATGGACAAAGTTTCCATTTTAACCTCTCAAAAATATTATATCATCCCTAGATTTCATTAGCACATTTTCTCTTCCCTCTTTCAGTTTTCAAACATGGGTTTCCTCTAATACTCACCTTACATCGATTTGATGAGGAATCAACGTCAATTCCAGCAATAAACAAAGTTATTTTCTTAAGGAAGTGTGAAAGCTATTTTAGTTCTCCTTTTCATAAGTATATTGTATTGCTTGCTATTTTGTGAACACTAAAATATATAAAATTGGGTTTCGAGTAGTGAATTTTGAGTGCTTGTTTCAGTGTAGATGGAAATCCATTCCTTTGCCAAGAAAAATCATAATTTCTTAAATAGTTTCATCACAGGCACACACTGAGGAGTTGCTGTACCTTATACACTGATAAGCTTGTATTAAGTTTCTACTGGCCCCTTTCTCTGAAGAGCTCTCAAGAGATCTCTGAATAGCTTTTGTGATCCTGAGACAGGAGTAGACAGTTGGTCATCTATTGCTTTATCCCAGTGAGTCTCCCTTCTGTTGT